CCCACAAACCGCTCTCTCTCTCTCTCTCCACGGCTCTTCGATGCCTCTACATGCTGCATGATCATCATGTTCTTTAACCTCAAGGGGTTCTGGCACTTCGGAGTTCTAGGCCTCGGAGCCTTAGGCCTCAGGCTCCAAACTCTAGCACGTCATGTAGTCATGTCGTTTGCATGTAGGCATGCATGTATGGGTGCACATACGTACCTATGTCTGTGCGTATAAATATGTCTATATATATATATATAAGTGTGTACATATCTATATGTATATATGTATACACACACACACGACAGGGATCTTGGAGGCATCCGCTACTTCAGGCGGCTTGGGTGTAAGTTCTGGACGTTCGGACGTTCAGGATTCGGAGGTGATGGATGATCTAATGGGAGCTTCGCAGAAAAACGGTCAGCTAAGCGTGTACAGTGTAGGGCTTTGGAGTTTTGGGGTGTGGCTTGGGCTTCAAGGTTTAGAGTTTCCGGGTTTAGGGCTCCGGTGCTTCTGGTCTTTCCCTTCCAACATTACCACTGCCCGTGCACTGCTACCTCCCACACGAGTGGAGCAGAGGAGGAGGAAGCTTCACAAAGGGCTTCATGAGAGCTTTATATGACAGTGAAGAAGGCCGCAACGCCGTCGACGCATCCATCCTCATGGCTCAAAACCCACAATCCCAAAACCGCAGTTCAAAACTCAACACGTCAATCAACTCCTGTCCCGGCGAACCGAACCAAACAGCAAATGAAACCGTCCTGTATCGCGCGAACCGAAAGCGTATTAAGATCCGAAAACGGAAAAAACGGATCCTACTGCTTCCGGATCTATGTTGAGGATCCGATTTCTTACTGTGAGGGAAGCAGCTCCTCATCGTCGAACTCCTTGGTTTTGTGGATCGTCCCGAAGAGCGGCACGCCTGACCGCTCCAGGGTTCTACAAGGGGCTTCGCCTGGGGGGGTGTAGGATCTACGGGTTTCAGAAGAACTTTGGCCGAAAAGACCTACCTTTTTAGGGTTCCTTATTGTGGTTTCTATATACAGTTCCTTAATTCCGGCTACAGGTAGGGATTTGGGTTAGGGTTTAGGGGAATGGCTCCGCAGCCAAGGGTTAGTTTGTAATGTTGGGCATCTGACTAAAGCAACAATGAGAAGACTTCCGAAGGAAGAGCCCAGGACTGACCAGATCAGGTAAGTAGTTCGAAGACCCCTCCTCGGCACAGCATTGACTTCCTGACCGACCCATACTATAGTGGCCTTAGTGATTAGAGGAGGGTTTGGGAAGTTACTGAAGAATCACCGTAATAAGGAACCCTAAGGGATCCTATAGAAAGTTTTATTGGTGAGGGCTCGACAGTGCGGACCCTGCGCTCGCCTGGCTTCGCTGGCATCGCGCGCTTCGGACACTCGACCTTTTCCAGGCCTTCCTGGAAAAGTTGGGTAGGGTTTTGTAGCAATTTTGTATGCGCTTGCAAGGGGGCTCTAGGAAGGGCTTGCATAATAAATGGGCTGTGTAAGGCTTTCGCGGGTGTAAGACGTAAACATTACAAAGAACTTCATGAGGCCCCGCTAGACGCTAACTCACGAACGCTAGGAGGCGAGCCAGAAATCTGGCACCCCAGATAACCCTATCACTCCCGAAGGTTGGAGAGAACCGAAATCTTCGGCACAAGCTAGCTGGACTGTGTGCATCGGGTTTTTGGATTTTGGGTTCTAACATTTGAGTACCCTGCCCTAACATCATCCAGACCCCAAAGGTCCACATACCCTCCCTGGCGCTACGCCTAGGCCTGCACAACCTAGTCCCTAAACCCTAAACCCTAAACCCCCAGGGCAAGCCCGATGTGGAAACGGTACCTCCTCGTCCTCGCTATCCAAGCTGAAGAGACCTTCCTCGCTTTCCTGCGCTGAGAACTACGGTTGATGATATAAATCCTGCATTACCCATAATAAGGAATATACCATAATTCCCATAGCTTAGGGGCCTTAAGGTAATGCAGGATTTATATCATCAACCGTAGGGATTTAGGGTTTGCAGGTAGGGCAAAAGGAGCCTCCCCAAAACGGCCCAAGCCATCAAATGTTGTAGCACTTTTTCTGACCATGCAATAGAGGTTTGCGGTTGTGCAAGCAAGGCTTGAGGGCTTCTCAAAAAATGTGGGTACTTACGATTGCTTGGGAGGTCCTCAATTTAAATTTTGAAGATCCTGCTGTCTAGGGTCCATATTAAATAGGGCCCCCTACTTCCCGTCAGCCGTTATCAGAGCAGTGTACCCTGACCTGCACTCATATCACGACTGAGCAACAAAAAACCGTCTGTAAATCCGCGAAGGTGTCATCTTCCAGAGGGGGCCTCCGTCACTGGAGCGAGCTGCGATGACTCCGAGATCATCCCAGCATCCATGGCTGCCGTGGGCCCCAAGGCCACGAGCGCTGATGCTACGAAGCCTAAATCCGAGAACAATGCTCTGACGCCTAAAGGCCGTCATGGGGGCTGCTCGGCGAGAATTTCGGGCTGCAGGGAAAGAACTGGGCGCCGTTGGACTGTAGTGGGCTTGGGGTTTCATTGTACAGCTTTCGTAGCGGGGGAGGGCCTAGGCATGTCCGAAGAGGTTGGAACCACAGACCATCTGAAGGGTTGCTTGAAACTGTAAGGGCAGAGGAGCATTCACTCAAAGGCTTCAGCCGGAGATCTGTACACTCGAAGCCTAAAGGTTTAGGGTTTAGGGAACCCTAACTCGGACCCGACACCACTGACTCGTTCCACAACTCTCCTGCAAGGAGAATACAGAGACTCCAATATCCCTTAGTTGAGGAATATACCTTAAATTCTAATAGGAACCCGAATCAGATTTAAGGTATATTCCTTCATTGGGGGATATTGGAGTCTCTGGGAAGCAGGGCCCTCAACCCGAACCCTCAGAGGCCCGAGGCCATCAGAAAGCAAGGCACCCCAGCCCCAAGGCAGAGCGGGCAAAGGCACCTGTCTGCTTCAGTCACCTCTGGCTGCGGATTGTTTTAAAGGTTTTTTCAAGGTTTCATTCAAGGTTTCCATACGGGGTTCGGCTCTATCTGTTCAGAGGAATTAGGATCCTTAGTATAAGTACCCCAAAGCAAGATAGCCGCAAATTTCTGAAGACCTCGAGTGGTTGAGGGGTTGCAGGGTTTAGTGCCGCCGAGCACGACGCCCTGAAAGTTCGGGACTTCCATGCCCAGGGGTTGAGGAAGAATTCAGGTTGCAGACCTTGTAAGCCCTAAACCCACAACCTGCCAAAATCTGCTTATGTGAGCGTTAGGACTTGGGGATCAAGACTTCAGAATGAATCCGAAAAGCATGTTCAACCGGAGCCCCGACACTAGGAGAGTTCTTAACAACCACTCCCTTTCGAACCCTACTGGAACTCGAGGGATAAAACTTCGACTTCTGTCCCAAGGCCAGGGCCCAGTATGGCAGGGCTGATGCGGAATCCTCTGCGATTTGCCAGGGGCTGGGCTATGGGGTTGGGCCGTCCATTAGGGTTTAGGGTTTAGGGTTGTAGTCGGAGATCTGACATGTCCTAAGCATCTTCGGGCGCGTCCCATCATGCGAGTAGCTCGGCCAGCCCTGAACTCCGAACCGAAAACACTCGCCATAGGCGAGCCTACCAGATCTGGCTGGCCACTCGGGTATCAGGGCCTCTCTCTCGTTTTCAGATAGCACGCGTGTGGGGCCGTGCTGGTTGCTGGGGCCTTCCCTGCAAGGAATCTGTATGAAACCGAGTTAATCAAGGCAGCATTGCTCAGCCCTTGACCCTAAACCCCAAGCCCTGAACCAACCCTACGCGCTCACCCCAACCCCGAACCCCAAATCCTTAACGCTGAACCCTAAACTCTCCTTAAACCCACCTCTAAACCGGTCTAAACCCCAAAACACGAAACCCACACCTCTAAGCCCTAAACCCCAGTCTGGCTCCGTTTCGATGCCAGGCCGAAAGAAAGCGTTGTCCTGGGGGAGCGCAGAGTGGGAGAAGATGAGCTTCTGCTCCTGGAAGCAAGTTGAGTGCTTGAGGTTTAAGGGTTAGGGCTTAGTCGGTTTGGGGTTTAGGGCTTAGGGTGTTCAGGGGTTCAGGGGTTAGGGGTCAGGGCTTAGGGCTGGGAGACAGATCGTCTGGTGATTTGCTACGTAGAACCTAGCTATACCTGCACCTGTAGCTCCACTATCAGTCCCCCTAATTTGGTGACCTAAGCTTGGGTTGGAAGTACACTTACAGTTGGGTTAGAAGTACCAGCAGGAGAATCGTGAGGTCGAGGGCATGGGCTGGGAACGTTGCATGTAGAATGACGCGGCAGGCTTACAAAAGGCTCCAGGGGATTGGACATCAAAACTCAGAGGCCTAAACCCTAAACTCTAAGTCCGACAGGCTGAGGGGTTAATACTTACAACAAGCGCTGCTTTGTCTTGAGGGGCTTCTTGTGGGCTTAGCCAGTTGGGGATCCAAAACCTCAGCTGTCTGATGTAGTAGAGCCTTCATGCTCTCAGGAATTATGGCACAGGCTTTCGGTGTATATTGTGCTATAGACAAGGCTCTGGCCTACAGCCTGAATCTGCCAAAGCCAACACCCTATAACCACTGCCACGCACATGATCCTCAAGGATGTGACACTGGACTCCAGCAACGACTCGGCCCGATTTTCCACCCCTCTCTCCAAGCCGGAGAAGATGAGTTAACGCAAGCCCCTCCTTCAACTGTCGCACGGCCGTGAATCAATGAGGGGCTTTAGGGTTTGGGGATTAGGGGTTTTTCTCGAGGGAGGGAGGTTAAAGGTTTAAGGTTTCGGGTTTAGGCTTCAGGATCTCCGGTCCACAGATTTGGAGCTCAAGGCCTTTACCAGGCCCTACTCCGACATCTGGAACCGGAGCATCGAAAAACTAATTCAGACTACTGTGTTGGGATCTTCGGATCTTCCCCTCCTACCTAGCAATCTTCGGGTTCTTAGGCTTTGGGGATTTAGGGTGCCTTCTTGGCACTGAGTTCACGGCCGCGCTTTGCCGTAGCACTGCGGGTACCCCTTCGGGCCGATGGGAATGGTGCCGTTGCCCGTTCGCCCGAAGTATCCCTGCTTGGCGTGGGCAAGGATGCCTTCATGCACAACACTCTCGATTCCTGGAAGAGCCATCATGCGGCCCATCCACTTCCAGACCCCGGCATACTCGAACAAGAAGGCCTGGTTGAGCTTCATGCGGTTGTGATACACGGGATCATGGCGCCAAAGTGTCGTGAAGGCCCGCAGGTCACACTCTGTCACTGCCCCGAGGATGAAATCCTTGCCCTCCAGCAAACCGTTGAGCCGGTCTAGGGCTGCGAAGTATGCCGCAAAAGCCGTCTCATAAACGTCTTGATTCGAGGAAAACCCCGCCTTGTAGGCTCCATTGTTGATATCTGTGTACAACCAGGTGTTGGTCTCCTCGACCTCTTGCTGCAGCGAGGGTGGGTACAACTCGAGGGGGCGCTTGGCATATGGCAACATCACCGTCTCAAACATGCGCATGATCTCCGCGCTTTCATTGTTCACCACCTTCCGGGAGACCTTGTCGTACAAGATGGGTATTGACTTCTGCTCCAGCCCCGACTCGGCGTAGATGTCAACGATGTACTTCTTTCCACCCACGGTGTCGGCCGTACATTCTGGGAAGGTGACATGGCGACCGTTTTGCCCTGTGGCCCCTTCGGGAGCGAAGCGCCAGAGATTCTCACCTCGCTCGTCGGCGCTGGTGGTGCGCCCCGGAAAGCACACATCCATGGAGATCGCATCCTCGAGACCCAAGACTGCCCGAACCAGAGCAACCCGGTGGCACCAGGGACAGTTGAAGGCAATGTATAAGTGGTATCGGCCGGATTCTGCCGGAAACTCGTCGCTGCCTATGAAGGACCGGGCGCTTGAAACCCCACGAACGAACTCACCTCCGGCACGGCGCTCCGTTGCGTTCGTCTGATCGTCAGTGGTGATACCCGCGGAACCCACAACGGCCATCCTTCAGGCCAAGGCCGACAGGACACAACACAATGAGATGAAGGCATGCAAAGACTGATAAATCCTGAGCCTTGAACTCTCACTCATAAACCCAACTGCGGTGTGTCTGTCCTGTGTGTGCGAGTGCGTTATGTCTACGGCAATAGAGCCCACGCAACGCAGGACTCAGGCATTCGTCTCTTGGTGGAACCCCACAAATGCGGAGCTGAAGATGTCCTCGATCCGGCATCCCAGAGGAAGGACTTCCAACCCGATTGGTGCGTGAACTTCGCACCCGAGGCGCTAAACCGCAAGACCCGATCGAATTCCACCAAGATTTCGGATACAAACTCCCAAAACCCTAAACCCCCTACAAACCAACCCTAAACCCCCCCTAAGCCCCCTACAGAACCCCACGTAAAAGCCCTTAGAAGCCCTAAGCCGCTCCCAGACGCCGCGTGAGAGCCCGGTGAAGGTCGCCACAGCCGCCTGCCACGCAAAGAATCGCAGATTGAGGGTTTTTTCCCTCCCACATAGCAAGGACGAGCCCGCATTGCAGGGTAAGGTTCGGTACAGAGGCTGTTGACAAGACTCGAAGGGCGAAAGGACATCAGCTCATACACCAACTAACATGGGCCATTCGGCGTCAGTCTGTCAGCAGTTACTACAGATTGAGGGTTTTAAAAGTGCTACGGCCTTTCGCACTGCAACAGCACGTCTTGCCCGCCTCATCGAGGCCCGCACAGAAAAAACACCCCAAAGACAGTGGACATAGGGTTTAGGGTTTACGCTCTCACAACTCGGACAAGCCAGGCGAGGTTCATGGTGCGAGGTCGGCGTGCGACAGGGAATGACAATCCACATCCAAGACCCCAACCCAGAAAGAAAACCACATCCAAGAACCCATCCAGCCGCAAGCGGCGAAGACTCATGGATTGTCACGGGTGCAATAGGTTTTACTGTTGCACTCCTCTGTATGGCTCGGGTCCCTGTTTAGGGGGTTCCATGATATAGTTTGTAATGGTATGCAAACCTTGTTTTGACTGTGGGATCCCATGGGATGGAACCCTGAATAAAATTCGAGTCTAAAATTTAAACCCCCAAACCCTAAACCTTAACCACAGCCCAACACAAAACCTTCAAACCACTCCAGACCCTGACCCTGCTCTAGTGAGCTCCTCAATTCGGATAGCCAGAAGTGAGGACCAGAAAAGAGTTTCATTGCAATTCTGGGTCCCCCAAGTAGTACGGCACCTTTATGAAAAAGCACCGTGAGAAGGAACCCTAATTCGGAGAACTACCCATGCGGATCCCTCTAGCACTCGATTATTTTCGCACTGCCTTATGCTCACATTCAGCTGCAATCTTCGGATTCGTCGAGCGCTTCTTATGTCGGCAGCCGGTAGACAATTCGGCTCAAGCACACTGAGAAACCCGCCCAGCGGTTGCCGTTCCACTTGTCCAAGCTCACGTGCCCAGTCCACCTGCAAGGCAACTTTCACTTTTGCAAGGAAACCCGAAGAAAAAGGCATCAAATGGAATAGGGTTTCGCTGTGTATGATAGTGGAGTCATAGTGACACCTTTATGAATACTGTTAATAACTATTGAGGCTTCTTGTATAAACCCGAGACAGCAAAGCGCGAGCCCAGGCATCCACCAAGATCCTGCGGCCCTAAAAGAGGGTTCCTGGTTTTGAGAAACTCCAGTATCGCTGAATGAATAGAAAAAATTTCTTCAAACTTGTAGTAGGAATCTTGATACCTTGACTCTCGAAAGCTTCCTAAACTTTATAGCAGGGCTCCTGAACAGAATGCATGTTCGATGGTTTTGGACAGGAGCGGAGTGGGCTCTTGCGGAGGGCTGGGTCTAGGCGAACCGAGTTTCGAGTCTGCGCCATACTACTTTTCCAGAGTTGAGGGGCTTATGTAAGGTTTCAGGTTTAAGGTTTTGGGGCCCTGAGATGAGGGTGTCGGCTTTTGAAGTACGGTAGGGCTGTAAGGTCTCGGAATGCAGGGTCACGAAAATCGTGGAATCTCAACCCCCAGTTTTAGCCGAGCTGACTTAGGACCAGTACCTCTCCTCGTTCTTTCATTACGTTGATTGTGTCACCACATACATTGCTAACCAAAAAGCCGTCGCCCCTGCTGTTCTTCTACTAGCCCTAATTGCAGCTACAACCCCGACCACCCATCAAAACCGTCAGCCCTGTCTTGCGCCATGAGCCAGGAGCTTGTAACTCCTGAACTCCACTTCGAGCCAGAGGCCCCACAGGCCCAAAAAGACCCTAGACCACAAAGCACCGAGCCAGGGACCAAGGAGCGTCAGCGTTGCCACGGGCTGGGAGACTGGACTGGAACCTTCCCAAAAAGGCTTGCGGCGCAGGGCTAAGGGGCTGAAGGGCTTCAGAGTTCCCGGTTGCGGGGTCACAGTTATACGTTTACGGCTCTAGGGTTGAAGGGGTGTCGAGGTCGAGGTGCTTCAGAGTGTGAGGCATACGGCTGCAGCGAGGCATCCTGCGGAAGGAACACACGGAAACTTATGCAAGCCCTGACGCTGTCGCCCCAGTCTATGACAGGTACTAATGCCACGGGGTCCAAAGTAGCCGAACCCGACACCTGAACCCACTGCAACCGTGTAACCGTAACAAAAGCTACAACTACGTTTTGAAACCCTACCGAAGCTTGCAAAACAAAACACAAGAACCCTGAATGAAACTCTTGCGAAACCTACACAAACCTCGATGAGAACCTTCTAAATCCTATCGACAACCACTCTACAACCGCGCAGAAACCCTTAAAAAACCGCTGTACAGACCCCTGCGACACAAAACTGTAAGGACTCGTGTAAAACCTTACACACACACACCTTTTTGGAAACCCCGCCAACCCGGTAAGAACCCCTAGAAAGCTTCGGCGCCAGGGCGTTTGGGCCCCCGGGCAGCCGGAAGCAGCGGATGTTCCTTGCCCGTGGGAGTGCCTGAAAAGCGAGCTAAAAGGTTTCCTTTTCGAAGAAGTCTCTGCGGGACGTCAGGAGGCATAATTCTTTGAGGGTTTTGTGTGGGTTATGTAAAAAAAGATAGAAGAGCTCTTATAAGACTGCATGTAGGGGCTTTAGGTGCCAAGGCTCAAGGTGAAGGGAGCAAGGTTGAGCGTGCGGGCTTGAGATACGACGACAGTTGCCTGTTTAGTGTTTTGAAGGACCAAGGTTTAGGATTGAGGGGTTCGAGGCTTCTTTGGCACTCGCACTCGACGCCGCCAGGCGAGGTACAAGGAGAAAACGGGCGGGTTTCAGGTCGGTTTAAGCTCAGGTTGGAGGTGAGGGACGGCCTGCCACATCCTTGAGATTTGCTGATGTGGTCTGGTCACGTAGTCCTACACCCACACTCTGCTCATGCTCGGCTTGTCTGCACTGGACCACGCGTGACCCGCGCAATTCCCAATGCCATGCCGGATCTTAATGTCTACTCCTGGGCCATGCGCGTTCGTTCTTGCTGAAGCCCTGCGCTGATGCTGATGATGCTCGGCTGTTATCCCTAGTCAGGTGAAAGTTCCGCAAGATTATGAAGCCTCAACCCACTGATGCTGATGATGCTCGGCTGTCCTCTCGGCTGGTGAAGCTCCAACCCCCGCTGATGCTGATGATGCTCGGCTTTTCTTATTGAACTGAAAATCTTGCAAAGCAATGAAGCCCCAATTCACTGCTTGGCCGTCCTCTGCGCTGGTAAAGCCCGGAGCCCTAACCCGTTGCTGATGATGCTCGGCTGTTCTCCAGAAATAGCAAGACCTGCAAAGCAATGAGGTCCCAAACCAAGGACGCTGATGATACTCGGCATGCTCTAAGCTCGTGAAACCCCAACAAGCTGATGCCAACCCAATGACGTTGATGGCGCTGGGCTGTCCTCTGTGCCGGTAAAGCTCCAACCCACTGATGCTGATGATGCTCGGCTGCCTTCTGGGCTGGTGAAGCCCCAATTTGCTGATGATGATGATGATGATGCTTGGTTTTTGTCTAGTCAGTTGAAAAATTCTGCAACACCATGAAGCCTCAACCCACAGATGCTGATGATGCTCGGCTGTCCTCTCGAGTCGATTGGTGGAGCCCGAACCCCCGCTGACGGTGATCTGCTGCTATTGTCTAATCACTTGAAAATTCTCCGACCTTCTGATGCTGATGATGAATTGCTTTCCTCTGCCTTGGCGAAACTACCCGCTCTGGCAGGTGATGCTTGGCAATCCTCTGGGCAACCCACTGATGTTGATAATGCTCGGCTGTTCTGCGCAGGTGAAGCCCTAACTAACCCTTTGATGCTGAACAGCCAGGTCATCCTCAGATGAAGCCTAGCAGACAGCCAGGCATCTCAGCATCAGCGGGTTAAGAGTAAAACGTCATGAACATCAGCGGGTTGGGACGCCACCAGCACAAAGGACAGCCGAGCACCATCAGCGTAAGCCAGTGGCGCTTCGCCAGCAGAGGACAGCCCAGCATCGTCAGCATCAGCAGGGTCGGCCTTCACGAAGCATCATTAGCGTCAAGGGGTGGGCTTCACCAGCGCAGAGGACAGCGCTGCACTATTCGGCAGAATTTTCAGCTGACCAGAACAGAGCCGAGCATCATCAGCATCAGCGGGGGTTGGGGCTTCACCAATCGAGAGGACAGCCGAGCATCATCAGCATCAGTGGATTGAGGCTTCACTTTGTGGCAGAATTTTCGATTGACTAGAACAGCCGACCATCATGAGCACCAGGAGGGTGAGCTTCACTAGCGCAGAGGACAGGAAGATGAGCTTCATTGTTTCGCAGACTTTTTAAACAAACAACTGGAGAACAAGAACATCATCAGCATCAGCAGGGTGGGGCTTCACCAGCCCAGAGGACAGCCGAGCATGGACCTTCACCAGGACAAGGGGGCCGAGCATCATCAGCGTCAGTGGGCTGGGGCTTCGAGAACTACCCCAGCATCATCAGCATCAGGGCATTGCGCCTTCACCATGCCAAGCATCACCGGGATTGGACCTTGACCAGCGCAAAGGACGGCCCGGCATCATCAGCGTCAGCGGGTTCAAGCTTCATTATTTTGCAAATCTGAGAGAACAGCCTGGCATCATCAGCATCAGGGGATTGAGGCTTCATCGGGGTTGATGCTACACCAGCGCAGAAGACAGAGCATCATCACTGTCGCTTCGCGGTTTTGCACGATTTTCAATTCAATATAGAATAGCCGAGCATGATCAGCATCAAGGGGGTTGAGGATTCAACCGAACTACGGGAAGCCACAACCTGCTGATGCCAGTGATGCTCGGCTGTCGGCTGATGAATGCTGGGTTCGCTGCCATGCTGACGAAACCCGAAGCTGCTGATGCTGGTGATGCTCAGCTGCTTTCCTCTGCATCGCAAGCACTGCTCCTCACTAATGCCTTGGCAAGCCGTCAGATTTTTTTCTCGGCTGGCATTCCACGTCGGTCAAGCCCCAAAAGGATGCTGATGACGCTCGGCTGCTTCTCGTCAACAGCACAGCATGTTGCTGATGCCATGACGAGCACGGGGCCTGCGCACCTCTTTTTGCTGGTTTCGCATCCCTGCGGTTGGTGACAAAACCACTCTGTGCAGCCGATGCTGAAGCTACATGCCTGTAGAGCACCGACGAGTATGATGCGCAGCCAGTCCAGGCTCCAACACCTACTTTTCGCCGAAGCCCTCCTAGCGACTGCAATCCGAAGACAAAAACTCGACAACCACACCTCGCACCAAAATATCCGCCTTCAGTCAGGGTTTTTTCTACATGTGGTCAAGAAAACTGTAATGCAAGAAGAACCCAAACCAAAACGGACCATCAAGCACAAACGATTACACGGCCGACCTAACCCGTAAACCCTAAACCCCAACTGAGGCCTTGCCAATCCACGCAGCTCCCTTCAAGCATCGAGTGCACACCTCGGGGGTTTTTCCACTTCGCCAAAGATGAAAACTTCAACCGCAACTTTGGGTTTTGGGTTTAGGGCGTTTGCAGATTACCAGCAGTCGCACCTCAGCGGCAAAGGGCTCGGGGCCTTGTCAACCTAAACACTTTAAACACTTGAACCCTAACCCCTTGAACCCTAAAGTCCAAAACCCCCAAGCCCCATGCTTGTTGCTTCATCCTCAACCCGAAATCCATTTACTCCTGAGTTTTGGGGCTTCGGTTCTAGTCTTGTTTTGTCTAAGGGCTCCGGGTCTGGGGTTCCAGTGTCTCTGCGGCTCTAGGAACTCGGGCCTGAACTTCCTGAGAGTTCTGGTTTGGAGAAAAGGCCGTAAACAAAACTGCCTGGATGAATTTCGATTCCGAAATGTGGGGGCTGTCCGGGAGGCAGCGCTACCAGCTAATGAAGCAAATAGAACGTTGCACTCACGGCTGGCTTCGGCGCCAGACTGTTTGGTTTTGTGGCTGGGTCTATTCTGAGGAAAGCCACATGCATAGCATCAACACGTGCGTGGTATCAACTGCACCGGAGAAATTCGATGACCTGGACAATGCCCTACACCGGCAAAACTGACGGGTTTGGGGGGTTTCGGATGTGGGGACCCAACTCACCAAGCCCAGCACGGACCACCAATCGGTGAGCTGGTCTTGGTCAAAAGCCAGGCTAGCATTTCGAGAAGGCCTGAGTGGGCTCCGCGGCTCCATTCTGAATTCCCGGCGTTGCTACGGTGGTGGCTTTTCTTCTCCACCATAAACCTCAAGGATGTACACACCCCAAAACAGATTCCCCGTCTTTGATTGAAGGAAGGAAGGAGCTTTAGGCCTTCCTGTGATATCAGTGCATGGCAGAAACGGCCTTAACATCAAGAGGCTGACTTGCCAAACGCAACAGACCATGCTTGTAGCAGACCCGGAAAACTTACAGCCGGTCGAAACCTCGAGAGCCTGCTTTCGGCGCCGGCCAGCTCTCACGCTCTCTTAAGGCAAGAGCGCACAGGTAAAGCTGTGGATGACAACGGACTGAAACTCGAGCGCCTAAACCCTACATCCGAACATAGACCTCAAATTGGGTACCTTTTTCCACAGGCTTGAACTGAGCTCGCCCGGCCAAATCCCTCGCAGCACATCAAACCCTAGACCCCAAACCTCCAAAGCCGGGAACTTTCTATTGGGTGCCCCCACTGTATGGGATCCTCGCCTGCTGCAATGTACAGCCCCTCCACCTGCGGGGGTCTGTATTGAAGTTTAAAGTATCTCAGGTTTAGGGTTTACGGTTTAGGGCTTAGGGTTCCATATGGGCGCTTGGTGTTTGGGGGTACCTTATTCAGAAGTCTATGTTAGGGTCTATGCTAAGGATACCTTGTTTGGAGGTCTATGCTAGGGTCTACATTCGGGTTTGGAGCACCTTATTCAGAAGCCTATATGACGGTCTGTATTGTTTGGGGGGGTCCCTTTAGTATTCGGGTTTGCATTTTTAGAGGTCTATAGTAAGGTGCACATGAAAGGTTGGAGTTTAAGGTACTCTATGTAGAAATCTTTGCAGTGTCTTACTTGGAGGTATTGAGAAGTCTAGAATAACATCCATATTGAGGTTTGGGGCACCTTATCCAAAGGTCGATGATAGGGTTGTTATCGAGGTGTCGGGTTCAGGGCATCTACCCGGGTCTGCATTAAGGTTTTCGAATACCTTATTTAGAAGTCTTTTTCAGGGTCGAACTTCGGGTGCAGGGTGCCTTATTTGGAGGTGTATCTTCAAGTCTACATCAAGGTAGGGGTCCGTAATAGGGTCTACATTAGGCTCAATGTTAGGGTTTGGGGTTTGGGGTACCTTATGCAGAGGTATTGGGGTCTATATTAAGTCATTAAGTTTTGGGATTTAGGGCATCTGGGCCAGGAGTCTCTTTCACAAGGGTCTTCATGAGGGCCTGTTCGTTCATTGACACTGCCGGTTTAGGGTTTAGGGTTTAGGGAGGGTATGTCACAACTGGCAAAAGTGCAATTACGAGGCCAAACAGCCTCTAAGCAAAACAACCTAAAGCAAAAGCCCTCACGCCCTTTTGGCAGCTGGGATCTCTGAAATCCTAAAACCCTAGACCCTCGAACAATGCACTCAGACCTAAAACCCCGGCCTGGTCCCTCAAATACCTCAAACACTGGGCCCTAAACCCTAGCCTTGGACTCTGAACTTCAGATCTTCGATTCAATTGTTTGGTCTTGAGGGCTTAGGGTTCAGGGCAAAGGGGTTTAGGGTTTGGGGGTTTAGTGGTTTAGGGGTTTAGGGATTTGGAGCGTTGGGGCTTTAGGGCTTGGGGTTTAGGGGTCTAGATAAAGTTGCCGAGAAGAGCAAATCGCACGAAAGGAGCTGTAAGGTTGATACAAAACCCTTCGAAGAAGCCCACCTCCTGTTTGCAGTCGATGGTTTCGTAGAGCTGCAGCTCCTGTGCAAGCGAGATTGGTGTGGGAGGGGGGCACGTCTTTGTTGCCGGAGGCAGGGCCAGTTCGTGCTTAGGGCTTACAGTAAGAGACAAGACCCGAAACACCCGAACCGCCTGAATGCCCTACACCAAACAACTCCCTGAACCCGGCACCCCCGTCCTTCAAGTCTTTCTCTACTGACTCTAGCGTAGATTTGACAAGTAGGGCATGGCGGAATCCGCTTCGGCACTCGACTGGGCAAGGCCGGGTGAGGGTCTCTGGCACAGGTAGTAGGTATGGAGGGGGGGGGTTCGGGTTTGGGGTTTAGGGTTTTTTAGGGTTTAGGGTTTAGGGCTTGGCCCTCAGGGTTGAAAGGGGTTTGGCCTTTGAGGCTCAGGGCTTCAGGGCTTCCCTAACCCCTAACACCCTACAAGCCCTGTACACTATAAACCCCAAAGAACCCCTAAACCTCACACCTATTCTAGTCTATGGCTTTGGGTTTGAGGCTTTGGTGTGTAGGGCTCCATTTTTTTTTCCGGCGAGCGCCCGCCAAAACATGGAGATGGTGCCTGCCGGCTCATAGGTGCCTGGCGCACTTCTTGGGGCTTTGGGGGTTTAGGGCTTTCGGGGCTTTCGGGGCTTTTTCGGGGCTTTAGGGTTTAGGGGTCGATCTGGGGTCAGAGAAAGCCTTGAAAAGTTGGGCTGAGCACACATCCCTCGTGAGAGCTTTGGGAGGGGAGTTGGGGGCTGGAGGTTGGACTTACAGTTTCGAGAGGCATAAGCTGGGTCGAAATGGTCGAAATGTCGGAAGCGTCTTCGAGGGGGTACAGTGTAGTACTGGTATAACCAGGAAGAAGATTGAGGAAGAGCATTGCTAGGCCATAAACCCTAAACCGCAAACTTACACCCCAGTCCAAAACCCTTAACCCTAAAACCCCAAACCCTAAACTTGCCCTAAACCCTTCAGCCCTAAACCCCAAACCCTAAACTTGCCCTAAACCCTTAAGCTATTACCCTAAACCCTAAACCCTAAACCCTTAAGCTATTAAGCCAGGAGCCCACAAGACTAAACTCACGGCTTGCGGCCTCACTTGGCCCCGAGCTCGGCGTTCCGGCGCAGGTGCCGGTAGAGTTGGAAGCCCAGAGCTCCCATAAGAGGCGATCTCGGCTTATGGTTTAGGGGTTTAGGGCTTTAGGGCTTTAGGGGTTTAGGGTTTAAGGTTTAGGGGCTTCGTGTTTAGGGTTTCGGGTTTAGGGCTCAGTGTTGGGGTTTGGCCTCGAGATTAGGGCTTAGGGTTCAGGGTTTGCTTTGTAGGGTTTAGATGGACCGCTTCGAACATCAAGTTTGCCTCGATTGAGATCAAGAGATTCAGGAGGGTTCAGGTTTGAGCATAAATCCGACAAAATGAGAAAAATTGTAACCATCACAGACTTTAACATGTAAGGGTTTTCACACGGTAAGGATTACTGTGCGGGTTTTGGTTGTGAACTGAGGACTCACTGTTTGCAGGTTTTGCAGTTTAGCTGTCAAAACCTTGTGTGGGTGTCACTACGATCTGGGAACTAGGCCTATCAGTTGGTAGATTTCAATACTTGGGCTTGGTGCACTTCCAGGCACTAAACCCTAAACCCTACACCCCCAGCTCCAAACCCTAAACCCCTCTCTCTAAACCCTAAGCCCCAGCCCCAAACCCTAATCCCAAAAGCCTAAACGCTAAAACCGTCTCTTGGGGCTTCGAGGTTGCCTACACGACTAAACGACCCCTTAACCCCTTGGTCCCGGACCCTAAACCGCCCTAACCAAATGCCAACCTGGAAGCCGCAAAAAAGACGATGAAAGAAAGCTGACACACACACCTTCAAAAAGCCCTCAGGAAGCCCCTAAACCGACCCGGGCGGCGTCAGCTCCCAGATCTCAGGGAGGCAGGCAGCAATAGCGAAGAGGGGCTGCAGAGGAATCGAGTTCACGAGAACCTGTGCCTGCGGCAGGGGGGTGTACAGCCACTTTAGGGTTTGGGGGCTTCGAAGTTTCGGCTTCGAAGTTTCCGCTACTTCGGAATCAACTTCTTCAAAAATCGTGTAGTTCAGGGTTGACACCACTCAGGGAATGCTTGGGGTGCATCGGGGAGTAGCTCTGAGGTGTCACACCGCAGCTAGGCCTCGTCGTACTGGATCGCCCGCACCACGGCCTGAGCCACCTTCGTGGGCGACGTCCACCCAAGGTTTCTGCCCGTCTCAGAGACGGTGGCGCCGATCCTACCGGAGGCAGAGGCAGCCATCCCGACGTCCTCCACCAAGCCGGGGCAAACGCAGTGAAACGTCACGGGCTTCTTCTCCAAGCGCATCTCCAGACGCAGAGATATTGTAAAGCTGGTCAGGGCGGCCTTTGTGGCGGCATAGATGCCCCCATAGGCAACGCTGCAGCCCCCTGCCGTTGAAGAGATGTTGACCACGTGGGCTCTCTTCTCTTTCAGCAACTCTGGTAAGAAGCTCTTCGTGAGGTGGAGAGTGCCTGAAACGTTGGTCTTAGGTACACTATCACTATACGTATTACTTCAGCAATATTACGATATTATTAGGGTATTAGTACAGTATAAATATTCCTAAACCCTAAGCCCTACATCCGAAGCGGGCCTGAAAGGTTGGTCTGGAGCATAGCATCCATGGCCTGGTTGTCCATGGCTTCGAAGAAAGCATACCTCAGCTTCCGCAGGAATGGATCCACTAAGCTCGGGTCTCCAGGTTTAGGGCTAAGGGAGGTTAGGAACTAGGAAAGGCAAGGCATGAAAGAAAGGGAAATTAACTTCTAGGGCGCCGAACAACGTAAGGACCCCCGCATTGTTGATGAGGACTTGGCACGGGCCGAAGGCGGTGGCCTGGCGTAGGAAGTCGTTTCGGCTCTCACCGTCCGTCACGTCCAACTTCAGCGTCAGGACCTTCACCTGGCGACTTCTTCGCAAAGCAAAGGCTCTGGCCTTGCAAAAAATCTGGCCCTGCACACAACTTCTGCCCCCTACCCTGCCCACCGCTTGCCTTCGGGAAGCGGTTCACAAGGTCGGCTTTGACCTCTTCCAGCCTCTCCACGCGCCGGGCACCCAAGACCAGCTTCTCCACCCCCTCGGCCGCAAGCGCATGCGCGATGAACACTCCCAGACCATCAGAGGCGCCGGTGACTGCGCAGCACAGCCCCTTCAGCTCGCGCACACGCTTTGGGAAGAATGTCACGTACAACAACACCGCCAGCAGCGACAGCAAGAGAGCCCCGCCTGCCACTGATGACTTTCGAAACCTCTACACCAAAAAAAAGCAACGCACCCCTGAACCGAGAATTCTAGCCTGTAGCCTCTTCTCTGCACACCCGGCAAAGCCTGTGCAGCATAACAGCCACAGGAGCAGCCACATGAGGTTCAGGCCACAGAGGTCATGTCCGCACACCACACCGCATCGGAGAAAATGTTGCAGGTCCTATAATCCTTGTTGAACCTGTTCAGAACCGAAACCTTACACTCTATGCTAAACACATCCTAATCCAGCTGCTAGTAGAAGTACTCCAATTGGGGTTACATCCACACTTCTTGCTCTTGCACAGCAAGGTGCCATGGAACACGGGCATCAGCATCACCAACCCTGCACCCTAAGCTTTGCAGGAAAAGCAGTGCACAGTCTGCACAGTACTGACGTGGTTCATGTTCACGTTCAGGGTTTCGGCGCTCACACTCCTCAGGGTTTCAATTGCTGAGTCTGTTTAGGGTTTAGGGTTTAGGGCTGACTACCGGTCGATGCTAAGAACCCTACCACACAACAACCAAAAGGTCAGAGTTCATGGGCCATGAAGCACTTTTTCAAGTTTGAGCGCAGCAACGTGGTTGTGCTGAGGTGAAACGGAACTGAAACCTCACTTGGACGTAGCCAGCAACGTCTGCTCTGCCGACTTGCGGAGATTCTTCGTGGAGTCCAAGCCGGCATTCTCCATCATCGGGGTTCTTAGGTGGAAACTGGCTAAGGGGTTTAGGGTTTAGGGCCAGTTTAGGGTTTAGGGTTTAGGGTGGCTAAGTTGATCATGCCCGAAATTAAGGTTTCGAGGTCGAGTTTGGGTAGATGGGTCATATCTTACAGTGACCCCCTCGCCCCCTCCAAAAAAGAGATGCGCTGCTCTACGCACCCACCGTCGACACAACTCGGCACATTGAAGCTTTAGGTTTAATGGAACCCTTACAAGAACCCTTCATAGAACCCCGTAAAGCAACCCCTATAGAACCCTATAGGTTCAGGATCACTACAGATAAGGCATTAACCCCTCGGCCAGCCTTGTTAAGGCATTACGGCTGGTTTTGGGTGCAAAAACTATTGCCTTACCACCCCGTTCACCTGGGTCCCAGAATTTCGATCATCATGGCTATATCATCCTATATCATCCTAGAGTGGGGTTCGGGCTCGTTTGTGGCATGTCGGGACACAACCTGGGCATGCGAAGCAGTGGAAACACTTGAAGGCACCGCGACTCGCAAGGACTCGCACTCGCTTTTTTGGGCTCGGAGTCGCCAGAAGCCGCTATAGTGCAGCCAGGTGCAGCCGCTCGACGCTGCTCGCCCCTAGGCCTCTGCATCGAGCACGTTGTTTGGGGTGTGTTGTACATTGCGATACATTGCGGCTGGGTGGTGTGAGATGCTTGAAAATGCTGGTTTTGCAGAGGCCTCCCCTGCAGTATCTGCTGTACAAGCTGCAAGACTCGCGAGACTCACCCCTCACTCCGGTAAAACCCCAGGTGAAACGCTGTCGATCGCACGCAGAAACTCTACCCACTTCGATTTCTCCTTCACCGGAGCCACGTAGCTGAACTTGCTCCACACAGATGCCGAGTACTCATCCGCGGTCATGGATGGCGCCTTAGCCTGTCCGACTTTCTTAGCCCGGAGCAACGTCTCAAAGTACGCAGGTGTTCTGGCTTTCAGCTCATCCCAGGTCGGCTTCTTGGCCACTGAGAGATTCTTGAAGAAAGTGGGGACACCAGACTCGTCCAGCATCGGTGCATCCACCAATCGCTCGAACATGGACCGGCATTTGTCCATGTATCGTACCATGCACTCTCGGCCAGCTTTGGTCGGTGGGAAGCTGTGGATTGTGAAGAGCTCCGCAGACTCGGTCTGTCCATCATCAGCCGGCTCGCTGCTCGCCATCGCAACCCCTTGCAGTTTCAGTGCAGCTTTGACCTTCTCTTTGTCAAGGTACAGCAGGATCCGCCACTCATTCTCATCAACTGTTTCGACAGGGATGCCGTAGAAGATAGCAGCATCGCATGAGAGCGGGTCCATGCACCAACTGGGAGACAAGGACGTGGCCTGGTAGGTCACACTGGTCAGCTTCTGGAGCTCGACCAAGTGGACCCATCTGCAAGCAGCAGCTGGCACCTCGGCCTCGCAAGGCTTGCTGCCAGCCTTGGATTTTCTGCCGATGCTTCCCCTCCACACCTGTTCGATCAGTGCAAGCTTCACCTCGCCAAGCTGGTGCAGCCTGCATGCCACGATCTGGTAGGAGCGGTTGCAGGCGTCGTCACCAGCCGGGGCCCGGTGCACGCTGGGCCGGAAAGAACTCAAAGGCTCTGCCACAGGTTTGTCGCCTTCTCCCTCCTGAGCCCTTGCAGCAGCCATCTTGGAGAATTTGATCCAGCTGCCAGCTCCTCGTTGGATGTTCTTTTTTTACGCTCTGCTTGTTGGAAAAAAAGAACGAAGATGTATTGAGATGTATTAAGGTTACTAAAGAACCCTGGACCCTTCAAGAAAGCAATGCAGGAAATGATATGTCATTTCTCGGCCCGAGGGTCTGGATTCCCGGCCTCCCACAAGGCCATATGCCCTTTGCGCCTTCGCCAGTGCGTGCATCAAGTCGTTGTGGCGATTCTTGTTCCGCTGGGTCCCACCCCGAATCTGTGCAAGACTCAGGAAGCCCTCTTTCTCCCTGATTTCCGTCACCAGCTTGACGATCTCGGGGGCGAGCTCGTGGCACCGCTGCACGGCTCGCCTGTCAGAGTCTTTCTCGTGGGGAGAGAACGAAGCGAAGCCCGCATGCTCTAGCATCGAAGCCAAAGTCTTCGCGGCCGGTCGTGGCTTCTTGTTGGGGCTCAAGGCTGGGGCGGCTTCCACTGTGTCTGGAGTTGGATCCGCAGCTGGCTCAGGAACGGTTTTGCCCAAGGCAGCGATCTCCTCTTTGGCTTCTGCTTCCATGGCGAGTCCATCCAAGGTGACCGCCAGGCTTTTAGCAGGATCAACAGAAGCAGCCTCACACATTGCCTCTTCGGTCTCCTCCTCGGAACCCAGCTCGCCCTCGTCTTCCTCCGGAAGCTCCTCGGGGCCACCCTGGAACAGCAAGGCATGACCCACGTCTTTGAACCAGGTTCGCAGCCTCTGCTCGATTGTGGCCGGATCCATGTTTACCCCAACCACTGCCCGGAGTGTGCAGACTGCCCGCAGAGCCGAGTTGGCGATGTCAGTGGCCTCGTCGTCGGTCAATCCCGTCCATGTGACGTCCCTGTCCTTTGGTTTGGGATCCTGTCCTCGCTGCCGCAGATGCATCCGCATTGTGGAAAGCAAAGCCTGCTTCAAAGTAACCGCCCCTTGAGCGCCTTGTTTGATCTGCGAGAAGGCATGCTCGGCAGAGTCCTCCATCGTCTTGCTGGGATTCCATGGGCAATCAGCAGTCCATCGGCGACATCTGCAGGGGACAAGCAGGATCAGAAAGGGTGGCTAAGCACAACCCTACACACCCCTCCCCTCCCCTCCCCTCCCCTCCCCCTTCCCTCACAAACTAACCTTCCGTGCCTCTCAATGAGATGCGCGGTCACATACAACAGATTCTTGCATGTCGTGCGGTGGAAAAAGAAGCTCTGCCACTGGCCTCCGTCATTCCGCGCCCAAGCCTCGGAAATGCACAGCAAAACCAGGTAAAAGCCGCTCAGTGCGTTGTGCAGCAGCTCTCTCGGGGTGAAAGCAGCGGCACCTAACCAGAGGCCGGTTGTGAATGACATCAGGAGCATAAAGAGCATGATTCCAGGCGAATCCCAGCTCTGCAGGCTCAGGAGATTGGCATTCAAAACCCAGCTGGCCTCTTGATCCGATTGTGCATCGCGGCCTGCGTAGCTTCCTAGAGGCAATCCTTTCAACAGCAATGTCGAGAGCACGACTCGGTGGCCACAAACCACCAGGGTTCTGGAGGCTGAGCGCCTGAAGCAGGGAGCTTCTAAAGGACAGGCGCACCAGGAGCCCTGAATCCGAAACCCTAGTACCCACACATGTATCCTTCTAGATGCCAAGCTTCAAGGCTCGGATGACGTCCTTTTGACAATGACTTGGATCGTTGCAGGAAAACAGGGGCCAGCGATCCAGGTAGTAAAGTGTCCCGCACGGATAGCACGGAATGCGGTGGGACCCCTTCCTGATCTTGCATTGGTCGAAAAACCTTGGCATTGTGGGCTGGACAAGCTAGAGCTGCCTACCCCGCTTTGCTTCAGTCGAGTAGGATCGGAATAGAATCGGAACTAGCAGGAGATAGCAGGAGTATGGAATAATATGGAGCCATGGCATGCAGGCTGCTGAATTCCTTCCAGATCGCCCTCCGGCATCAAGCCCAAGAAGAGTCTATTCAGGGGGGCTTGCGCTGCAGCATTGTCATGACTTTGAGTCATCAAGGGGACACCCTCATTGCCCTGCAAACAGGCATTCCAGGTCGTGGCCGTGTCTTCCAGCACAGCCTGCCAGGTCACTCTTTTCTTGCGTCGGGGCAGTACTCGGATGGTGTACACCTGCTGTCTGGAGTCTGCTCGTTTCAGCATGAAGAAGCACGTCTCTTGGGCCAATTCGGTGAGCTTGAGTGTCGAAGGGCATGTGGTAGCTGGGATGACTGCCCTCTCATGCGCCCCCCCCACGAAAGCCGGACCGGAGGGGAGATAGGCCAAGCAGTACTTTGGGAAAAATACTGTCTCGTCGAAGATCAAGCAGCCATTTCTGGAGCCTCGGACGCCGAGCAGAGACAAAGCCGAGGCCGCATTGGTCGCCAGCTGTGACACCTGGCCCACCCCATCTCCAGGCTCTGTGCTCGGGCAAAGCAGGTATGGCATCCCTGGCTCATCGAAGCCGATCTGTCCGATGCCCTTTGGGTTTAACCCAAACAACCGCAGCAGCCCGCCGCTGCTCGACGAGTGCGCCGCCAGGGCGAACCCGACCTCGTGGAGTGCTGCTTCCGTCACTCCGGGCAGCGAGCTGCAGGTGAGCCGCTTCTTCCCCTGCTGCAGTCGATCAGCTTTAGCCACCAACGCAGTAACCAAAGTCTGGATCACCTCGTCCTGCCGCAGCACTCCGTTCAGGATCAACTGGGCAAGTCCTTTCTCCGCATCTGCGGCCTTTTCCAGGCTTTGTCCAACGTAGTAGTCGCACTCCCGCAGGATGATGTCCTTGGATGGGCTCTCCTTGAGGTGTCGCGGGATCCAGCTCACCTGGGTCTCGATCAACTGCAGCAGTGCCTGGTTGCACATCTTGTGTGGGGTTGACAGGAAGGTGCGGTCCAGGTGCGTGTACAGCTGCGGGTGGCTCATGGATCGGAGCTTCTCCAGCTCCGTGCCTAAACCCAGCAAGGGAACATAGTCCGCATCTGCCATGGCATCGTGTTGCATGATGCGCTTCTTGTTCTCTGCGGACACCTGCAGCAGGTGGCACAAGTCGATGCAGTAGGACCACCGACAGACCTTCTGGATGAAGGACATGCGGTTGGCGAGGTCAGTGCAAGCAGAGCATGCCAGTGCCTTCTGCGATGGCACGAACCGTGCCGCGCTGTCAATGCAGCTTTGGGCCCGGATCACAGGCACGGTCTCACGTGCCTCAATTCGGCAAGCATGTGCAACCTCGTTGCCAGACCAAGGGAAACGATTCGCAGCCCAGCACCAAAAGGATGAGGCATAGGCAGCTGCTTGCACACCCGAGCCCTCCACCAACGCCACTCCGGTGCACTCTCGCCCGGAGTGCCTTGCCGCTTCAGCTGCCACGTGGAAGTCGTAGCTTTCGTGTTGGAGTATGTAGTGGATAGTTGAGGTTCTGCGAGCATTAACCGAGGACCCACAAATCTTGCAACAGAGGACTGTGGGCTTGTCAGGGTCGGCTTCGTAGAGGTTGGGGCGACGAACTGCTAGCCAACGATAAAGGTCCTGATGCAAGGGAGCCTGCACGCCCTCGGCTGTGGAGGCGCGCCGCCCCCTTTTGCTGTTCATCATCCCCTCCTGCTCTTTGAGCCTCTGCAGCCGGGCCTCGAACTCCTTCTGGCCAGCCCGCTCCCTCCTTAGAAGAGGCTGGTCCTCCACTGCCACTATTGCCTCGGAAGCCGAGTCTAAGGGGATGGGTGCACCCTTGCTCGTCACCAGGTTCAGGCAATGCGCACAGCCCAGGTCGTCCAACCGGCCCAGTGCCAGGGCTTTCTGAAAGGCGAGCCAGTGGCCTGGGTCGAGTTTGTAGGAATGAGCCGGCTGAAAGTCCTGCTGAAAGTCTATCTGCATCCTCCTAACGGCTTGCTTCCCCCTCTCTTTGAGATCTCTCTCTGCACGAATCTCCACCAATGTTCTTTTCGGCTTCTTGCTCTTGCTGCCTGCCCCAGATGATGTTCCGGCTTCTTTCGTGTCTTCGAGGACTAGGACATCAGCAGAGATCTCCTGCTTGACTGGCACCACATCGCCAATGGCTGAGCTCTCCTGTTTGACCGGCACCATATCGCCAACGGCTGAGCTCTCCTTTTTGACTGGCACCTCTTGCTTCACCAGCACGGATGATTTTTCTGCGGGCTTGGTGTGCTTTTCGGGGCTGAAGGTTCGCGGTCTCTTCGGTCTGGGCCGTGGTGTCCCAGCAGCATCGGAGTCACCCTCCAGATCAATGGTGGTGCTCTTGGCAAACGTGCTCCTGACCAGAGCACCAAAGTCCAGGGCGGGCTCCTTCTCAGTCGTGGCTCCGGGTTGCACCGGATCGGCCCTCTCTCTGGTCTGGCTGAGGGCAGCAGGGGGCGGACACAGAGTGCGAGGATCCTGCATGCCAGCATGGTCCGGCCAGATGCAAGTGCAGGACCCAGCTGGCGAGGTATGCTGCCCTAGTTTCAGGAAATAGGCCGTGGCTGTCATGTGAGCCTCGTACAACCCTGGTCCGGTCATACATGCCAGAAGCTCTGCGGCGCTACCACAAATGACACTGACAGAAGACGTCATGTGCTCCAGAGTCGCGGTGTGCGGGTCGAAGTGGACACGTGGGCAACTGCCGTGGCCGCAGCTCAGGAGGACTGAGCTCTTGCTGTTGCAGACGATGATGCAACCGCACCGCCCCTGCGAGGCCAGTTGACTGAAGACGTGTTCAAGCACATCTGGGAGCGGCTGCTCCATCTCCGAGTATGACAAGTCTGCCTTCTGCAAGAATGACCGCATGTCTTCAAGCGCAGCTTCCATGTAGCAGCGGCCGGCTTCGTCGCAAATCTCATGCCTCACCTCGTGCGGCAGGCTCAGCCGGTCCGACTGTGTCCAGGCTTCCCCAAGCACCTGTTTCCAGTGGGCCCAGACACGACGATTGTACCGCAGAGCCTGCTGACTTCCAGCCATGAGAAGATTGAAGCATGACTCGTCCGCTCTGCTGCCCAGCCACGTGTCGAAGAAGCTGTGGTCGGCGGAGAGGAAGATCATGCAAAGTCGCAGGCAATGATGTGTGCAGCCCACCGCATGGTCGCTGCCGGCGGCCTGCGGCCAGACATTAATGCCTTAAGGAGCCTTGGACCTATGTGGAGGGGTCGAGAAGGCACCCGCCTGGTGCCTGCGAAGCCTAGGGATGCCTAGGGTATCCCAGGTTGTCCGAGGGTTCCTGGCTGGAAGCCATGTTACAGGGTGTGCTCAGCTACTGCAGGATTCATCCGGGGTTGGGCAATTAATGCCTTACCGAGCCCTGGACCTATGTGGAGGGGTCGATGAGGCACCCGCCTGAAGCCTTGGGCATCTCATGGTATCCCAGGCTCTCCTGGGGTATCCTAGGGTTCCTGATAGGCCATACGAGAGATGGACAAGGGATCATAAGGGTCTTGCCCAGCCAAGCCCAGGTTCTGCAGGATTCGTCCTGGATTGGGAAATTATGGGAAATTAATGCCTTACCGAGCCCTGGACCTATGTGCAGGGGTCGATGAGGCATCCGCCTTTTGCCTGTGGCAACCTAGAATATCTTAGAGGAATCTAGGGGTCCTAGCAGGAATCCAAATTGGAGAAGATGGATAGGGGTCTTGTCCAGGTATGCCCAAGTTCTGCAGGATACGACGGGCATGCCTTACGCACCCCTGAACCCTGGTAGATGGGTCTCTAAGGCATTTTTGGCAGGCATCCCCAATCCAGCAATCCCACCGAAAGGCATCAGCATGCAGCAACCCAATCAGTGCCTCCAGGATCGGATCATTTTGGTTGGTGGAATGGAGACAACACAACGGCAGCCCGCGAGCACGAAGGCTCTTCTGCCGATAGAATGCACCCTGCGGCCAGTACTTGCTGCCCAAGACGGCTGCTATGTAGTTATCAGGAATAGCCGCGATTTTCTCGGCCGTGCTCAGCTGCTCGAACTCTAGCATGGATAGCCCAGTGGAAAGGAAACTGGCCAGAGCCTGCAGATACACCTCCCAAGCCTCTGCTTGTTCTGGCAGCCTCAGACAGCCGCAACCCCAGGTCGAAACCCTCTCTTTCCGAAGTATGCATGGGTCTTAGACCGCAAGCCCCTATGGATGGCTATGGGTGGCTGCAGTGACACTAAACGACACTAAGACACTGATAGAACCTCATGTCGATGGCAGGCAAGCCGGCGTTCTCATTGTAGTGGCAATGAGGCAATCGCAAACGACAGCATTCCATCCCACCGCGCACGAGGCAATCCGGCAATGCATTCACCCCGGGCTCCGCTTTTGCAGCTGGCCCACATGTGACGCCGGCACCAGCCTCCGGCTTCTCAGGGTCCACTCGCCCGACTCCGGTGTCCTGTCACAACACGGATCAACACGGCCAACCCTCGGGACATCCCCGAACACACTGATCCCTGCTTGCCGGGACCAGCCTCCGGCATCCCACGGTCCAGCCCATTGTCCGGTCGCCCCACTCCAGTGTCCTGTCACAAGACGCATGAACACGGCCAAACCCGCAACATACCGGAACACACTGATCCCTGCTTGCCGGCACCAGCCTTCGGCATCCCAGGGTCCAGCCCAATGTCCGGTCGCCCGACTCCAGTCTCCTGTCACAAGACGGTCAACACGGCCAACCCAGGAACATCCTCCCAGAGGGCAGAACCCTACGCGGACACCGGGGCAAAAATTCACGGTTTGCTCTAGTCCCAACCCAATTTGCCCCAACTATCCCCGAACACACTGATCCCTGCTTGCCGGCACCAGCCTCCGGCATCCCACGGTCCAGTCCATCCTTCCAAACCATGACTGTCATATCGGCATGATTCAGGCGTCCCCAAACAAGCTCAAAAATGTCGGGGGTCGAAAGAGGGAAGGGTCAAAGCCCTGGCACAAGACGGGGGAAGGCAGCTGATCAGTCACTCCGTGCAACAGAACGGAGCCCACCTGATCCCCGTTTTTCGCCAGCCCTTGATCCACCGCAGCTGGTTCCAAGGCCTGGGAAGCGAGTGATCCACATGGAGCACCAGAGGCACAGTGCCTGGACCCCAGGTCTTGAACCCCACGGATACCTTGTCGTGGCATTCTGCTCTGGCTGCAAGTGCTTGAAGATCCGCGAGAGCCTGGCCAATATTGATCACATGGCACAAGATTCGACTGATGAGTCTGAGTATCGAACAGGAATCTCTGGATAGTCGCGAGCTTCGTGATCACAGACCTTGAGCAGGCATGCCTACACAGACAGAGAGACACACCCGCGACGACCGTTCATGAGCATACTACACCAGAGGCACCTCACGGCTCAGGAGGCATGAACAGTCTCTGCCCAGCCCACCCCAGCCCGAAGCTCGTTTGGAGACAGTTTCGTTTCACCCTACACTTTCCCGTTTGGGTGAGATCAGGGCACAAGAACACAGTCAGGCGAGCCCCGAAGCCAAGGTCGAGACCGGCACGGGAGGATCGAGACCAGCCTGTAGCAGGACGACCCATCCACGACACAAGCCCAGTCCAAGCCAAGGTCCAAGCCGTGCTCGGGGCAGTCGTGGCTGGAGCGACCTGCCCAGAGACAAAGCAGCGTCAGCCCAATGGCCAAGATGTCCAAGTCCCCGGCATGTCCAAGAAGATCAGCAGCCTATTCCAGGAGGCTACAAGATGCTGCAAAACCACAGGGCAACTTGGTCGGATACCGGTAAGGCCCCAACACCCACAGGAGCATCCTGATGACCACACGCAGACGCCTGTGATCAAGAACCCGACTGACGGGAGGCCAAGTGTATGCAAACAATAGCAGGCGAAGAGATAAGAGCACGGCCGCATCCACCGGGTTGGCATCAGCCTGACAGGATCGGCGAATCGCAGGCCAACGGGGTGGGATTGAGACAGACGCTTTGGGCTTGGGCTTCGGGGCTTCAACCGGGGACCCTCACAGGCACTCCTATGCTGGGGCCGAACGGGGTTCGGGTGCCCTGGACTCCCTGAAAACCTATCAACCAGGGGGGTGGGGGAGAAAACCCGGACACCACAAACCCAGGGGAAACCCCAAATGCAGGGATGCAGGCAACGATGTTTCCAAAATCAAGCGCTCCTGTGATGTGTGTGCCGAATGCGCCGAAACCACCCCTAATTCTACATTCTACATAAGCTAACCCGGCCAATGCCTAATTGCCAACCCATACTTTGCCGTAGAAGAGAACCCCGGCACACACGGACAAACACACATCATGTGTGAAAATCACCCCTCGGTTTGTGTGTGCCTGGCTGTGCGGCTGCGTGTTGTGTGTTGTGTGTGTTGCGTGTGTTGTGTGTGCTGTGTGATGCTGTGTGATGCTGTGTGATGCTGTGTGTGGTGTGCTGGTGTCTGTGGCTCGCTCCGACTCTACGACACAGCCGATCGTGCTCACTCAGGAGTCCCAGGCACGGGTGACCACGCCGGAGGCGTCGGCGGGAAATCTGGCACCATGTCAACGTCCGTCTGCTTGTCGTCATCTTTCCTCTCCTCATCGTCCTTCTTCTTGTCGGCACGGAGAATCCACCGGTCGTGGAAACTCATGAGGAGCTGCTCCGTGGTGGGCTCGGGCACCAGCTGCTTTTCAGGAGACTCCGTGCAAGGATAGTTGGGGTAGATTGCCATGAGCTCATGGTACCATGCAGCACCCTCCAAGCCTTCGTCCTTCTTCGTGTCATCATCTCTCCTCTGGTCATCGTCCTTGTCGCGGAAGTAGGGGTCCCCCGCATAGTGGGACGACGAAGTGCCCGATCGATCGCTGTTCCCCGTGTCGGATGAGTCACCGTCCTTCTTCTCGTCGTCATCTTTCTTCTGGTCATCGTCCTTCTTGTCATCGTCGAGCAAGCCAGAGTCCTCGCCATCCGCTCGGGTCGTCATCTCCACCCGCAGCTGGCGGAGACGGTACTGGGAGCCGTCACACGTCGGAGCGATCGCATCGCGGAGCATCTCGCCAACTGTGCACGATGGAGCCGTCGACATGTAGCACTGCCTCTCTCCATCGCGAACCAGCAGCACCTCGTAGCAGCTCTCCATGTGCACAGGCACAGTGTACCTGTCCTCGTTCACGACACTCTCCACAGCTGCACTCGGCCTGTCCTCGTTCACGACACTCTCCACAGCTGCACTCGGCCGCTTCTGGCTCACAGCTGCACTCGGCCGCTTCTTGCTCGCAGCTGCACTCGGCCGCTTCTTGGCCGTCATGGCCTTCATGGACTTCATCGCCTTCATGGCCTGCATCGCCTTCATGGCACTCATCGCCTTCTTGGCCGGCCCTGCCTTCGCCTTTGCGGCTTTCGTCGGCTTCGCCCTGGCCTTCATCGCCTTCATGGCCTTCATGCTCTTCATCGGCATGTCCAACACCAGCCGAGTGCGCAGCGATGCAGCGGCAGGAGAGCTAGGCTGGATCTCCGCCCAACCCTAGCCAGGTGTGCAGCGATGCAACGGCACGAGAGCCAGGCCAAAGGATCTCCGCCCAACACTAGCCAGGTGAGCAGCGATGAGTGCGGGGCAGCAGGCAGCAAGCTATGGCGAAGCAACGGCAGGTTTGGGCAGGGATCTAGTCGGGTCCTCAATGGTCTACACACTGGAAATCACATGCTTTCCCCTGCCGACATACTGGCTTAGTCACCTACCCCCGTGCCGTCATAATGGCTTATAATCTTACTTATAAGAAAATAGTGCAACCCTGCCGACATGTTGGCTTAATACTAAATACCCTTCCCCCGTGCCGTCCTAATGGCTTCACGATCCTAGATATAAATACAATAGTGAGACATAATCCTAGTGAGTGGCTTCTGTGTTGGTGGCGATGCCTGTTCTCCCACAATGTCGGGGTCGATGATATTTCTCAGACCTAGAGGATCGATAGGGCATGTGTTCACAGCTTGGCTTCGTATCCCGATAAATCACAAACAAGCAAGCTTTCCCCTTTTGATCCAGATGTGATGCGAACCGCAACTCGGCAAGCAAATGCAACAATCCAAGGCATGTTCACGTGTTCAACTGATCCTGCACTGGACTATTGTCGC